TGCAAAAGGCAAGGGAGGGGGTCTGGGGAGTCTTAGCATGACAGGGGACCGACCCTGGGCCTTATTGGTTTAGAAGTATCTCCAGAGAAAGACTCCAGTGTCTAATACCCTCTACCCTAACCATGCACTAATGCAACAAATATTTATTGAGCGCCAACTCAATGAAACCTGGGTGAAGCTCTGGACTAAAGAGATACAGAAGTAGCCACTATGGTCAGGTGAGGGAGACAGATGAGTAGACGGATCCTCCTCACAGAGGGTGGTCACTGCTAAAGCTGCCCTGCCTGAGGAGGTCAGAGAAGGCTCCCAGGAGGAGGTGTCAGGGAGCATCTTGGTGAGGTATGAGGATGAGTCTGACCAAAGGGAGACTCAGGGATCAGTGCCCACCAGGAGAGGAGCTCTTATTAAAAAATACAGGGTTCAGAGGCCGGAAGTCAAAGGTTATGGGGCAAAGGTCACTCCACTTTTGTGACAAGAGCACAATCCTGGGTTTGCTGGAGGAGATCAGAGGACTAGCTGGTCTCCTTCAGCTGCCCTTTGGGGGCAGGGGAATGAGGGGAGAGGAGGACACAGCAGTGGTCTGACCCAGAAGTCTCAGCATCACAGGCCTGGCCCCATGGGCATGTGCCCGCCATCTTCGGGTGGGGTCTAGGCCCAAAGTGAGAGCCCAGGGAACAGGAAAGGAGAATCCTGGTGAGGAGCTGGAGGTCAGGACAGGAGGTCAGCATGGAGGAGGGGGGCTACACCTCACTGGCCCTCCCCTCCCCCTCCCCCATGGCACCACAAGGCACGCAGCCGCATATCACCCGTGCCAGCCCTCACCTCCCGGCAACGCCGCCGCATTCTCAGCCAGGCCATCTGGTGTGCCCGCCGCTCCCCAGCACACTGAGGCGGGCAGGGGGAGGGGGCAGCGGGGCAGGTGCCCACCCCAGAGCCAGAAAGAAGTGGCAGGTCCCCCTCCCCCAATGTCCTTTTGGACTTGAGGTGAGGCAGGGGGCTGGGAAGGGGGTGGCAGGTGCTCTGAGGCTTCTGGAGGAAGCTTCAAGCATCCTGAACGGATGGAACAGGCGTCCTCTGGGCAGCGCCAGCCTGCCCCCTCCCCTGTCTCCTCCCCCCACAGCCCAGCCAATGCCAGGAGCACAGGCCCTCAGAGAATCTCCAAATTCCTGCCCTTCCCCTCAAATCTGAGACGGGGATGGAAGAACAGGCCGCCCCCTCCTTCCATGCTCCCGCCCTCATTCTTCACCTGCCTGCTCCTCTCAGCCTAGGCAGGCCCAGAGATAGGTTAAGATGGCTTCAACCAGGGGATGGATACCTGGGTTCTAATCTACCTGCTCCCCACAGCTTGGCTGTCTGAGGGGGAAATCAGGTCTCCTGCCCCAGCACCCTTATTTGTGAGGGAGTCGCCGGCTAGACATCCTTCTGGGTGTCAGAATTTAGTGAAGAGTTTAAAGATCATGTATCTATGTATTTTGGTGGAGTAGGGAGTGTAACGAGAGGGGTTTTATGGAACATTCATTCTGTCCCCTGGGCAGGATTCCCCTAGACTGCTCAGGAATGACCCACTCCTCCCTCCCTACTCCTCCACACTCTCAGGCCCCCTCACCCTCTGCCCCCTCACCAAGATCTGAACCTGCACAAAATGGCCGCCACCCCTCTGAGGCAGCCATTTTAGGTGCCCAGACTGTGGCCTCCCTTGGGATGGGGGTACGTCTCCTTGGGAACCTCAGGTCCCCCAGCTCCCAGCTCCCTTGGTGGAGGTAGGCAGCAGAAATGGGGTCTTCCAGGCCTGGATGAGGTACCCACCATTCCCCTTTCCTTTTCAGAGACCCAGAGGGGACCAGGCCCCTCACCAATTCCCTTCCCCCAATGCCAGGGGGAGGAACAGATGGCATCTCTGGGTGTCCTTCTCCTTCCATCTCCTTCCTTCCATTTCTGGCTCTTTCTGTCTCTCTGTCACTGCATCTCTGCATCTCTGAGGGTACAGAGAGTTGCACGTATGTCCCTGCGTGTTCATGCTTGTTCACGTACATGTAGACACGTGTGTGACAGACCTCCTTCAGCCCGTGTCTGAAGCAGGCCCACCCCACACCTCCCTCTGTTCCAATTTTCCCCTGGTTTTTATTGTATCTTCTAAAAAAAAGTTGAAATGTGTCGAGTGAGAAAAACTTGTTCCATTTTTCTGAAGGAAGAAAATACAGGGGCAGGAAACAGACCCAGAGAGATGAAGTTCCCCATATCTTTAGGTGTGCCCCCTCTGACCTCAGGCCTCCCTCCTGAGTGACTGACGGGGGCTTCTCAGACCCAGAGAGCTAAGGTCACTCCTGATAAGAGATGGGGGAAGAAGGTTCTGCCTCCTGCTTGGAGCAGAATGCAATGCTTGTAGGGGTCTGTGAGACCTGCTGTTGGCTTAACCCAGCCCTCAGTGTCCACAGGGGTTATCTGATGCCCTTTCTCCCCCAAGGAAGTATTCATTCATTCATTTATTTATCCATTTACTTATCCATTAATTCTACAAGAACACAGTTTCTACATCAACAAAGCTTTCTGAATTTAGGGAGGGTAGTGCAAGAAGTTAATATTGTAAAGCACATTACAGTTTACAAAGTGCTTTAATAAAAATAAGAACTGGCATTTATTGAGGGCTCACTATATTGCCAGCCCTGTGCTAAGCTCATTATATTTATTATACCATTTAGTACTAGCAACAGCCTTAGGAGGGTATCCCCATTTTACGGATGGAGAAATCAAGACTGAGAGAGGTTATGTAACTTGCCCAAGGCAATCAGCAGTTTTTAATAGCTGGGAAGTGGGACTGGCCAGGAATCAGAACCCCAGAGCACATGCATGTAACCAAAACACCATATGACCAGAGGACTCAAGAAGAGTCACTTGTCAGGATTGAGGACCCCACCCTGGAGCCAGAGGGACAGTAAAGCCTTTGAAGCTGTGCCCAGAATTTGGAGAGGAGCCTGGTCAACACTCCTGAGTCCTTGCCCCACCTGAGGCCCATCCTCTGGCCTCTCTCTGCCATGCGTAGAATCTCCAGACTGTCTGCCGTAAATGGGACTCTAACTTCCCAGACCCAGGATCCCATGAATGAAGGAAAACTCACCATTGGCTTTTCATCCTTGGAGACCACTGAGGCAGAGTGTGGGGTTGTAGCAGGAGCACTGGGCTGGAAGTCTAGTACTTGAGTTCTAGTCCCAGCTCTGGTCTCCATTGTGTGTTTCTGGGCAAGTCAGTTCCATCCTGTGGGCCTCTGGGAAAGCAAGAGCTCAGATTGTGGCTCCTTTCAGCTCCCACCAAGTGCCCCTGAGATCCCCAGACAGTACCAGCCCCACCTTCTCCAAGACCTCCTTAGCTATTACCGTACCTCTATTTAGAACCTAATTCTATGTACCTGGCATCAAATCAGTGTCTTCACCCAGCAATCCCTGCAATGCCCCCTCTGGAGACCCCTCGAGGAAGAGAACTGTACTTACCCATATGAGGATAAAGCCCTTGTCTTGCTCATCTTTGTGCCACCCAGTACTTGGCACATGGTTGACACTCAAAATATGTGCACTTACCTTATAATTAAAGGTGTACGCACATGACTGTCCATATGTAAGCTGGAGGGTGGGGCAGGACAGAAACTGTCAAATGCCTGAATTGGGGTCTGGGCAGGGTCTTTACTCCTGGCTGTGATCACCTGCTCACACACGTGTCTCTATCTAAGTAGTGGTGTGTATCCACTTTCTGCACCACAGGGTAAGGAACAGGTGTGTGTGTATGTGTGTCAAAAGCTTCCTCCCTCGACTCCTTATACTTGCATCTGTGTCTGGCCCAGTGAGAGGGTGGGAAGGTGAGTTGCGAGATAAAACAGCAATTTCATACCTTCCTTATGGAGACATCTGTCTGACCCATCTCCCCTTGGTCACTCGGGACTGCTGGGGTTGGCTTCAGGATTTTCAGTACTTTTGGGAGGAGAGAGGAGAATGCTTAAATTGCACCCAGAAACTTTAGGTAGCCCCCTCCTCTCCTGCCTGCAATAACCAAGCCAGAAGGTCAGGAGAGAAAGCCACGGTGGAATGGTTACTTAACAGGCAGGGGGAGAGGGTCATGGAGGGAGGGATAATTGAGAGATTTCTGGGCTAGGGATCCATATTGAGACCCTCTCCCTCCCTCAGGTGGTGGGTGTATGGGGGTTCTTCCCTACCCCACTCCAACACACATGTCCCCAAACACCCAAGGAAAGATCTTGTCATCAGGCAGACTCCACGGATATACACACATGTCCCCGCAGACACACACACGCCCATGCAGAGGCACAGACATCCAGGCAAACCTTTTCCTTTCTCTGTCTTTCCCTTGGTTTGAATTTCGTTCAGCCACATATGTTGTGTGTGCGTGAGGGTGGGTGGGGGAGGGGCAGACAGGGATGAAGGATGGCATAGTGCCAACATCTACCTATGGAGCTTGGGCCAGGGACACCCCCGAAACCCACCCTGGGAGGGGGCCTCAGCTGTCCCTTTGTGGCCAAGGGGATTCTCCTGGGGGGATGGGGGCAAGCACATAGGTCCCTTCTCTGCACCTCAGGGTCTGGTCCCTGACCCACCCTGGGAGCCTGCAAGGGAGAAAACGGACAGAGCAGGACCCTGGAAGGGGCACAGACTTGGGAGCCACCACAAACCCCCAAGTTCCAGGCTTGCCACTCCATTGTTCCCATGTGGGGGGCTCTGTATCCGAGGGGGGCAACTCCTCCCATCTCCCCCTCAATCCCTGCTTTCCCTGCGTTGGGCGGGGAGGGGAGGGCGGCAGAGATATTTATTTATTTCCTTTATTTATTTAATTTTTTTTTTTTTTTTGGAGTAGAGAGTGACAGATGGCGGCGGGTCCCGGGGGAGCCGGCTCTCCCCCAATGCAGACGCATGCCAATCACCGTCTCTCATGTGATAGCTGCTGCCCGTGACGTGCCAAGCCCATATGGCCTGGCATAGAGGCTGGTACCCCGCCTGGTAGAGATGCCACACTCGCTCCGCGGTTCGCATGGCGCTCTGAAGACGCCGGCGCCCGCCGCCTTGAGGAGCCGCTGCCCCCGCTCCCTGAAGATGGGGGAACAATGAAATAAGCGAGAAGATTCTTCTTCTCCCCCCTCTCTCTCTTGCCCCCTCCCCCCTCCCCTCCCCTCTCCCCTCGACTCCTCTCGGAGGTAAGTTGTCCGAAAGGGAGCTAGATCTGACCCGCCGGCTGCGGGGTGGGGGGTGGGGTGGGGGGGCGGGCTGCTTCGGTCGACCGAGAATCCCCAAATCCCCCCTTCCTGGGACTATGCCCCCATCATGGGTGAGCTTCGGAGGCGCCCCGGGTTCCCTCTCCCCTGGGGGCTGGAGCTCAGGGGGATGCAGAGGGAGGCATCTCTGCCTGCGATGGTCTTGGGCGAAAGGCAGAATCATGGGGAGGGGGGACGAAGAGACTGAGATTGGGGTCCCCCAATGCTCGTCCCGGAGGAAACTGTGACCTTTCCTCACCACCAAAAAAAAAAAAAAAAAGAGGAGCAAACAACAAATTTGGATTATTCCCCCCCCGCCATAAATCCCGAAATACAACGAGATCTGAAGAGCCGTGTGGGAGGAAGGCAGTTTGGAAGGGAGAACCCGGTCTCTGACCGCAGGGGAGACGGACCGGGCTCGCTTCTCAGTCTCCTTCCCACGCCCGGTCCTCAGTCCTCGCCACCCAGAGCCCGCTCTTGGAGCTGAGGACGCAACGGCCAGAGGAGCCGATTCTCCTGCCTTTGGAATTGGGGCTGCAGGAGTGGGGGCCGAGTCGGGGGCGGCGCGTGGCCAAGTTGCAAATTGGATTAGGGAGCGTGGGGGTGAGCGCCACCGGAGGGGTGGGGAGCCAGGCCGAGGGGCCTGGCCGCGAGACCGCCAAGCGGGGCAACTGTTCCCACCCGCGGCCGCCTGGCCTCCCTTCCACCGCCGGGAGAGTCCAGGCTTGCACGGCGAGCGCGCCGCCTTCCCTGGCGAAGATATCCGGCCCCTAAGCTTCCCACCCGGTCCCCGCCCTGACCCCGAGCAGAACCAGGCGCCGGGAGCGACCCCCCATTCAAGGGAGGGCGGAGTGGGGGCACAGCGCCGGGTTGAGGGCCCGGACCAAGATCCCTGGCGGGCGGGCGGCCCGGTAGGGCTGGGTCGGCTCTGGGCGGGGCAGGCGGAGGAGCTGGGCACCTAGAGCCCCCTGGGCAGGAACCTGCACCGGACTGGGGGTGGAGGCGGGTCGGGGGGCCGTCGTGACCCCAGCACGCCCCTCACTCTATGCTGTCTGTCTCCCCTTCCCGCCCGCGGGGCGCCCTCAGGCACCATGCTGACCCGCCTGTTCAGCGAGCCCGGCCTCCTCTCAGACGTGCCCAAGTTCGCCAGCTGGGGCGACGGCGACGACGACGAGCCGAGGAGCGACAAGGGCGACGCGCCGCCTCCGCCTCCGCCTGCGCCGGGCCCGGGGGCTCCGGGACCCGCCCGGGCCTCCAAGCCGGTCCCCCTCCGTGGAGACGAGGTGCCGGAGGCCGCGCTGGCCGAGGTCAAGGAGGAAGGCGAGCTGGGGGGCGAGGAGGAGGAGGAAGAGGAGGAGGAGGAAGGGCTAGACGAGGCAGAGGGCGAGCGGCCCAAGAAGCGCGGGCCCAAGAAGCGAAAGATGACCAAGGCGCGCCTGGAGCGCTCCAAGCTGCGGCGGCAGAAGGCGAACGCGCGCGAGCGCAACCGCATGCACGACCTGAACGCGGCGCTGGACAACCTGCGCAAGGTGGTGCCCTGCTACTCCAAGACCCAGAAGCTGTCCAAGATCGAGACGCTGCGCCTCGCCAAAAACTACATCTGGGCGCTCTCGGAGATCCTGCGCTCGGGCAAGCGGCCCGACCTGGTGTCTTACGTGCAGACGCTGTGCAAGGGTCTGTCGCAGCCCACCACCAACCTGGTGGCCGGCTGCCTGCAGCTCAACTCGCGCAACTTCCTCACAGAGCAGGGCGCTGACGGCGCGGGCCGCTTCCACGGCTCGGGCGGCCCGTTCGCCATGCACCCCTACCCATACCCGTGCTCGCGCCTGGCTGGCGCACAGTGCCAGGCGGCCGGCGGCCTGGGCGGCGGCGCGGCGCACGCCCTGCGGACCCACGGTTACTGCGCCGCCTACGAGACGCTGTACGCGGCGGCGGGCGGCGGCGGCGCAAGCCCGGACTACAACAGCTCCGAGTATGAGGGCCCACTCAGCCCGCCGCTCTGTCTCAATGGAAACTTCTCGCTCAAGCAGGACTCGTCGCCCGACCACGAGAAGAGCTACCACTACTCTATGCACTACTCGGCGCTGCCCGGTTCGCGGCCCACCGGCCACGGGCTGGTCTTCGGCTCGTCTGCTGTGCGCGGGGGCGTCCACTCGGAGAATCTCTTGTCTTACGATATGCACCTTCACCACGACCGAGGCCCCATGTACGAGGAGCTCAATGCGTTTTTCCATAACTGAGACCTCTCGCCAGTCCTCTTCTTTTTCTTTTGCCTTTGCCCGCTCCCCTGCCCACAGGCCCCCGAGCGCAGGGACACCCCCACCTACCCCAGCGTCGGGCGCGGGGCACGGGCCGCCGGGCCTGCCGCTCTCCTGGGCAGCGCGGTCTTCTTACCTGTGGGTGGCCCGTCCCAGGGGCCTCGTTTTCCCCAGGGGACTCGCCTTCTCTCTCCCCAAAGGGTTCCCTCCTCCTCTCTCCCTGGGAGTGCTTCTCCAGGGACCCCTCTCCGGGCGCTCCCTGGAGACCCTCGGCCCATTCCCAATCCCTCCACTTAGGTTTCCTCCTCCCCCTCCCCCTTGCAGGTCCAAAGGCGTTGGTAAGGGGGCAGCCGAGCTGTGGGATGCGATTTTTCCCCTCTCATTATTACTATTTTTAAAACAGACACCGAGCTGCAGAGGCAGAAAGGAGCCGGGACCTCCTCTTTTTTGAAGAGGGCAGAAGTAAGGGCACCCCAGCCCGGGTCTGGAAAGCCTCCACCCCCAATCCCGAGTCTCAGCATTTTGGGGTTTTAATTTTGGCGGGAGGGGTTGTGGATTGAGAGGAAAGAGAAAGACCAAGACAATTTGTAACTAGAATCCGTTTCCCCCTTCCCCTTTTTTAAACAAACAAACATACAAAAAAACAAAAACAAAAACAAAAGCTAAGAGGAGACGGAGGCCGAACGCAGAGTCCGGATCGGAGAGAAAACGCAGTAAGAACTTTTAGAAGCAATAAAAGGCAAAAAAAAAAAAAAAAATACTACTACCAATAATAAAAAGACACAAATATCTATGCAAGGAGGTTCTGACGGAACCTAGCTGCCCGGCCCGGCCCCGGGATGCCCCTCCCGGCCCGCGGGCCGCGCCGCCCCAGCGCGGATCTGTGCACTTTGGTGAAGTCGGGGGGCCGACGCCGCCCCCTCCCCCTCCCCAGGTTCTTTCAATCAGTGACTCGGAGATTTGGGGCCCCAGTGCCACTGCCCTCCCCCGCCCCGTCCCCGTTGTGCGTCATGCTGTTTTTTAAAAAATCTGTTTCCAAATTTGTACGGAATGGCAAACTGTTGGGGGGTCGGTTTGGGGAGGGAGGGTTTGCATGAGAGACACACACACACGCACACCACACCGCACGCACACGCAGGCCCGGCGAGGGACTCCGGGGGCAGGGAGAGGCTAGCTCGCCGAGCCCCTCTCCTCTCAGGCACCTCCGAGCTCTCCTGGGGTAAGCGAGGAGCCAGCCCCGTCTCTGCCCAGACTGTGCCTGGGAGGGCGCCCGGCGCCGAGCGATTTCCGGTGGCTGGAGAGGGAATTTTTGTCCCAGGTGTCCTCCTGGCTCTGGCTGGCCGTTGGGCGGGTAGAGCGCTGAGAGCTCTTCGGGAAGTTTCCCCAAAAGGGGGCAAAAGAAGAACCTCTCCCCACCGGAGGCAGGGGATCAGGCATCCAAACACACGACGCAAAAATGCAAATCCACAGGCGATACAACCACACACTCACACACGCACACTCACACGCAATTTTACCTTCCTCTTGTAGCGAAGCTGAAACTCCCGTCGGACACCCGAAGTGCATTGCGTGTTTCTGTTCAGTTTAATGACAATTAATAAATATTTATGTAAATGAGATGCAAAGCCGGACCCGGTTTCTCACGGTGGTGGCCTCATTTCATTGGGGGGAATTGAACTGGGGCTCCGGTGATGGAGGCAAAGTGTCCAGTGACTTTTCAGAGAAAACCGGACATTTCTGGGTGGGATTCCCACGCGGAGAACCCCCCACACCCATCCACTGGGCACAGAAACAGCTTCACTCGCTGCCCTTCCCAGTTCAGACACGGACTCACACACGCCCCCCAGCACAAAGCAACGCACTGCTCTCCTTACACCCTTTCAGACCCCAAACACGGTCAGGCACCTCCTTTGAAAACACAATATCTTTTCATTACTGAAAAATGATCAAACTGGGAACAGCCGGTCATTTTACAACCCTCTGCCCACTGTTGCAAAAAACAAGTGTGCAGAGATAAAAAGACAACCATTTGAACCAAATATTGATATTTTTAAACAAACAAAAATATGTGAGGTCATGAGGATGAAAAATTCAAGGGCAAAAAGTCTCTTCCGTCTTAAATTTGTGTATCAGTGGACTCAGGAGAATCGACCGTTTTTAGCCTCAGGAATGTTGGAATTTTTAGGGTGTTGAGAAGGTTGGAAGAACACCCCAGAACTCTGCAAAGGGGGTGGAGTCCAGGCGCCTGCTCCAAGGAGCCAAGTCAAACCCAGCAATTAGCTTCCTGGGGCAGAGGGAACGCCCCTGGTCGACACCTGGGTAGTCTCTGCCTGTTGCAACTTCAGACCGAGGGAACCCCTCAACCTAGAGAGGTGGAAGAAGGGCACAGGGAGGAGGCCAAGACTCTTCCCCATCTCAGATAAGACACCCACACGATTGTTTTCTCTGAGCCTCAGGCTCTTAGCTGACTTCCTTGTAGGGCCCACCTTTCCTTTCCTCAGCCCCCAGTTCCCACCAGAGCCCTGGAATGTTTGGAGGGGAGTCTCAGTTCTAAAGATCCCCACCCCTGAGCCTAAACACACTTAGGAGACCCCTGACCTGGCTGTTTTGGACACTGCTTACTCAAATGATTTTTCCGAAAACACTGTCACTAGTTTTAGGGCTGAAATGGAAATTGTAGTGTTGGGGTGGGAGCTTGAGGTCAGGCGTGCCAAAGCTTTTAATGGTTGAGTCCAAGACCCAAAAATGAAAGCTGCCGACAGAAGAGGGAATGGGAAAGGTAGTTGAAGGAAGCACCAAATGAGAAGGGTGGATTGGGTTATACTATCTGACCTTGAGCTCAGCTGCTTCCATAAATGTCCACTCCCAAACCCTCCCCATCTCCCCAGGAGACCGAGCCACCCCACCCCACCCCCACCAGTGTGAGTCTGCGGGTAAGAGCTGGGCGGGGGCCGGGAGCTGTCCACGCCCGGGTGCTGACCCCTGTCCAGCTCTAGCCTTCCTGCTTCCGGAGGAAGCCGCCCCTGCTTGGCTCTGGGGAAGCGCGGCGCAGCATGAGGTCTTCCCCAAAATCCTGCGGGAATTCTGGTGGAATTCTCTCGCGATTTTCGGAGAATTTCACACGAACTCTTACAAAATTTCACCACCTTCTCTGGAATTCTCTGCGGGATCGCCCCTCTAGCGTGAGATTACAGACTGGGCCCTTGATCCCCAAGATTCGCCCCTGTTGGTTGGTGGTCTAATAGGGTCTTAGAGACCTCTGAATCATCTCTATTTTTGGGAGAAAGGAGTGACCCATCTCCCTCTCCCCTATTTCTTTCAAGGAGTGTGGAGCAAGATGCGCATCCGAGACTCAAACCTGAAGGAATCTGGTCTGCGCATGACGTGTGGGCAAAGCCTGGCAGGGGCGACTGGAGAGAAAAGGAACTCAGCACCCATCCCAAGCGAGGCCAGAGTTGAGCCCTATCTTGCCAGGGAACAGGTTAACTGGCTTCTCTCCCCCTCGGCCGGTTTGAAGTCTCCTGCTCTGAAATCTGGGTCTGGGCAGAATCCAGGTGGCTTGGGACCGGGAGGAAAGGACTCCTTCACGTGGCTTCCCTGGCCCGACCCCAGTCGCCTCCGCATCGCTCTTCCGGCTACCCTACGCGTCTCAATTCTGGTTTGAACACGATTTCAGCTCCTTTCGAAGAATATTGACGACTCTTGGGCCACCTTGTCTGTTGTCGCGTCGGGCCGGGGTGCCGGGGCCCCTTGCGTTTTAGCTTGTGGGGAGGTGCTCCAGAGCGGCTCCGCTTCTAGCGAATCCCAGTGTCCAACAGGCCACCCCTTTCCAGATGCCTAACCCTTCCCCCACAATTACTGCACTCTAGCTGCGCTCTATCTTCCCATCGCCCCCATCCCCAACACTCAACTTCCCTGGCGAGACGGCGAGATGAGCAGGAGAAGAAAATGCGCGCGGACACGCGGCCCCAAACGCCCCCGCGCAAGTCTCGTTCTCTCGTTCGCTCTCCCGCTTGCGCTCACACATACAAACCCAGAGAAGCTCCAGGAACAGAAGGAGGTGGGGAGGGGGAGGGCACGAAAAGAGGCCAGCGCCGTGCGGAGGGCCGAAGAGGAGAAGGTGCGGAGGGGACGCCCTCCTAGCCCCTAGCCTGAGCTGCCGGATCTCCAAACGCTCACCAGCCTGCTCAGCTCAACGCCTGGGCTGCCGAACCGACGGCTGGAGCTGGGTTCAAACAGGAAGGGGTCTTCCCCTTGATTTTCCAGCCTCCAGCCCAAGTTCAGCATTTGGAAGTGATGGGGAAAGAGACATGTCCCTGGGTCTAGGTCATTTGTCCATTCGCCTGGGAGGGAAGAGGAGGGAAAGCTGGGGCTATCTCTGCCCTCCCCGTTTAACCCCGTTCCAGCCCTGAACTGGTCGACAAGCCCCTGACGCCCAGCGAACCTCCGGCTCTGAATTCGTCATCCAGAGACACAGCCCAATAAACGGCTGAAATAGAGCCCCTCGGGGGTCAACGGCAGGGAAGCCCTGACACTCCTCCAGGAGATTCTGCGTGGTTGTGTTTGCTTCTCTTTTCCTCTTCACCGGAAAGTTCTTAAAGCCTGCGGGGCGCAAGAATTGCCGGGCAGAGGTCAGAGAATTCTTTCTCTCTCCAACGTTTGCTCCTTCCACTTCCCCAGAATCTTTAACCCAGGTTGCCTTCTCCTAAAGGGAAGGTGCTGGCTGAAGGAGGCGTTTAGACTGAGGGGTGGTTCTAGACGCCGCAGTTTAGTTCTCAAGAAAAGGTGGCAAGAAAGAGACAGCCGGGCTAGGCCTGGCTAACCTCAATCTTGACCTCCACTCTTCGGCCCCCCATGTGACAACAGAGGGGCACCGTGGGATTGGCACCAGACCTCTTATGTGATCAAAGAGAACGTGTTCTTTTAGAGGGACTTGGAGGGGGCCGCAGGTACTTCTGCTGTTGGAACAGGCTCCGCAGTTCACAGCCCAAATCACTATCACTTTCCCTTCCTTTGGGGCTGAGGCGCCGAGGTACCGGCCACAGGCCCGGAGCGGAGGTGCCACTGGACTGCAGGAAACCTTGAAGCCCTGCCCTGCTTCGAATCCTGAAGCGGCCTCTGCCATTTCGTCCTACATCTTTACGAATTCTCGACAAAGTTTCCCTCGGTGAAAAGTGGTAAGAAGGGGCAATAGCCGCCTCTGGAGGGCTATTCTCCTCTCTGAAACTTTCTCCTTCCTAAGGCACAGGCATCGGGAGCACCCGCCCCTGGGAGTGCCAGGCTCTAGAATAAGGTAAAGACCAAGGCTGGACTCACAGGGTTTCTGGGAGAGATGCCATGGGCGAGGCTCCCAGCCCTCCAATGCGGGGAGGGGAAACTCGAACTTCGGGGAACAAGGGAACTGGGGCTACGACATTAGGTGGAGAAGCTGCGCAGATGTGAGCCCGGGTATGGCCCTGGCGCTCCAACTCTCCTGCCGGCTCCAGTGCGGTAGACAACGCGGTCTCCCAGGACCGACTGGGCTTGCTGGGTTCCATACCGGAGTGTGTGCCGTTGTTCAGTTATTCAACCTCTCTCGGCCTGTCCCGGTCTCTGTCTGAGTCTCACTCCTTTTTTCGGAATTAACTGAATTAAGAACGGGTCTTTCCGGGACGCTCCCGCCTCCCACCGGAGGCTGGCTGGCCAGGAGGCCAAGGCTGCGAGGTCAGGTCCCTCTGGGCCCGCGGGAGCCCCCAAGCATCTTTGGGGACCCGCGAGCCAGTTCCTACCCTCAGCCAAGTCCTCGCCAAGGGCACAGCTGGGCGGGGTCTGGGCAGTCCGCCCGGCTTGGGACATCTGTTCTCGCCAGAGTTTCATTAAAGGCGAGTGGTGGGGGTGGGGGGCTCAGAACCAACCCCTCAAGCCGGAGCCGATGCCCGCTTTCTTGATCGCAGGCGGAGGCAGGAGTGGACACCAGACTCGCATAGCTTTTTTCCCCTTTGGGAAAAGCGCGAGAATCAGGGTGGAGGCCGGTGGGGCTTTTTCCTCTCTCCTTTATCTCATCGACTCCCCAATCAGAAGCCACATCCGGCCTCGCTCCTGGAGGGCGTTAGGGTACCCGTGCCCCGCCAGAGCTGCCAGGAGCCCCGGGAAGCGCCGGCTCCTGGAATACCGCGGAGGCTGCGGGCCGGCCCGGCATGGAACTGATCCCGCTTGCAGCGAACTCTCGCTCTCCCGCTATCCTGGCCAAGGCCGGGGCGGCGCAGGCAGACGGTTAAAAACAACTCAATTAAAATAACAAAAACATTTGTGTTTATATGGGAGGAGGGTGGTGCTTAAAAAAAAAACAAAAAAAAAAAACTTAGAAAACCACAAAGCCCCCACGCAAAACCAAACCAAAATCCTTAGCTTCTGATCATTTTGTACGAAAAGACAGAAAAATCCTTCAGCCGTCTCTCCCCTGGAACCGCCACCTGAAAGCTCCCGCCTGACCAAGCCGGGAGCCCTGACGCCCCCTTCAGCACCCCAGAGCCCTGGCGCTGAGCCCAGGTCGCCCCCTGCCCACCCTTCGCTTCCGTGTTGGTGCCAGTCTGTGCCACTCAGCCGGTGCCCGGTGCCCGGTGCCAGGCGCGGGGGGAAGGCGGGGAGGAGC